CGCCCGCCGCCAGGCCCGTCGCCCGCGTCACGAAGACTGCATGCTCTTTGGGGAAGAATCGAAAGGGCTCGAGGCCGCGGCCTTTCTTCCGTCCGATGCGGGCTTGGAGTCTCCAGTCTTCGATTGCGGTGAGAGCAAGGCCGGTGAGGGAGGTGAAGTAGAGGACGATGCTGGTGGTGAGGTGAACGAGGAACGATGTGGTCGGGTTGGTGATGAATTCGGAGTTGTATATGGAGCCAGCTGTCAAAATAGCCGATCCTAAGAAAATGACAATGTACCAAGCCAGCATGTCCCCCATCATGAAATTCCGGAGAAAAGAAATGAGCGAAAGTGCCGTATGAAGTTGAAGATCCCGTTCTGGTCACATCAATGACGCGGGTCTCGTCAAGTAAATAACAGGTGGCTAAGTGCGTTGCTTTAGGCAGCCAGGTGTAAGCGCTAGCGACTATTGTGATATTAGTACACGCGTTAGAAGGATATACTCTCTACTACGATATCTAGCAAGGATGAAGGCGGTACTTTGAACAGGCCAGAGGTTCCACAACATTGTACCTGGCGGAGCATTGGATGTTAGGATGAGGAGGTAGCGAGGAAGTTAAATATCTACATGGGTGTAGCCGAGTTCTGGTGTGACTTAGTACAAGAATTTTGGTGTCTATCGAACATTCTGGCATGAGCTTTTTTGACGAGCTGTTCAAGTTCCATGGATTTACTTAACGTTAAGTTCAGTTTCGACTTTTAGCGGAACCAAGCTCTCGAGAATTTAACTTCACAAAACACTTATCAAGATAGTTTTCGTATGGTAGATCAGTGGATTCAAGATTGATAAGGGACGGGCAGTTTTACACGTCTCAACGGCTGAGCCCTATCTCATCTACCGTAGAATAGCGTCACTAAAATGATACTTGTATATATTCAGAGTAGGGACAAAGGAAACGTTTATACGAGCCTACTCCTGCCATATCCTTACTTAAAAACAATGCAAGGAAGTTAGAGAACATATGGAGATTGTTAAACATACGCCATTCCACAGTTAATGGGATAAGTAGCATTTCGTGTGGAATTACTAGCACGCACTGAAAAAGCAGAATGGCTTAATGCAGTATAACTGAGTTATCTTAGTCCTTGGGACTCGACCATAAACAACAGAAGAGGACTGGTTTAGTTCACCTTCACGTCTTTGGAGCACCATCACTAGAGTTGTGGTTTTTGTTCTTTTCTGCCACAGCTGGGATTTCATTTTTTTGGTCCAATACCACACACAACCTGATACATTCAGTTTACGAACATACTTCCATTGTCATGAGAATGCGTTCGGCAGAATTACACTTTTGGAGAGCGAAGCATATACCGAAACGTATATGTCCCCCAGCCAAGTTCACCGCCTGTCCCTACCGGTGCCCACTCGGCAAGATCATAGTCACTCTTCCCAACCTCTTGAAACCCAGCCTTTTCGTAAAGCCTGTAACTTGAGGGGGATGCATGGATCCAACATGCAAGACTCTGCGACTTTATTTCCTCAAGTCCATGCTGAACCAACCTGGTCCCGATACCCCGGCCTTGGGACTCAGGATGCGTCGCCAAGGCTTGCAGAACCATGTACTCGGACCCTCCCATGTGTCGAGATTCCCATGAAGTCATCTCTTTATGCATGATCTCACCCAACACTCGCGCAGGGTCTTGAGGAGCATCATCGGCAGGGCGTGCTTTCTCCTCGCGATGGTTTGGATCAGAGGGTGCCTCAGAGGACTTGTTCTCCTCCGGGTTCTTGCGTTCCAGTTCCTTCGCAACCCAACACGACCAGCCGAGGATGTTTCCATTCCCCTCGAACGCTTTGAAGATCTTGGTAGTAGAGGGGTTCGATAGCCAGTGAAGGATCGACTTGCGCATAAGGTTTTGATGGGCGCCTTCTTCACGACCCAGAAGCATTAAATTCGAAAACCGGTCGGATCTGAACGCGGCAGTGTGGATCGCGACAAGGTCATCGATGTCACTGGGTTCCACCGCACATATTGATACGTTGTATTGGGGTTCTTTAGAATCTTGATCGCTCATGGTGGTAAAGACTCTGTGCTCCAGTGGTAAGAGAAACTTAGCGAGGGTAGTATCCAGTATGTACAATCCACAGTCGAATTCAAAGGCGTGCAGTTGGAAAAAAGAAGGTCAAGATGCGGGGTAGCTGTGCAGTAGGCAGCAGGCTCAACGCGAAGTACCCCAGTCGCATAAGCCCTGAGGTAGAATTATGCCATTCAGATTTACAACCAATGTACCTACCTATTTGTTGATAAATGTAAGATTCAAAGTCCTCTCTGACGCCCATCCTATGCCCGCACTCGCAGACCATTCAGCACAGTCTGAAATCTGAGGATCATCAACAATGCATTCATTGTAGCCCTTGAACTTCTAACCTTTTTTCAAGCAATCATTTTGTGGAACTTATGACAGCTTTACAGGGCCTTCGGAGTTGACGCAGACCTAATCGGATAAGCTCGCTGGGTGGTTCAGGTATATTCTGATATGCCAACGTACTCTGCACTCGACTTCTTTCACTCTCGAGCTAGTGATAGCAGCAAATGCCACTGAAAATTCAGCTAGATCGAAGAGAGATGCTTCAAGGCATAAGAGAGGATTTCCCGTAGTACTGAACTATTCATCTCTCGGTGGGTTGAGGGGAAGAGTGATCGCAGCAAGCGAATTGCAACGAGACGAAACAAGAGCCTTTCTGTTCACTGGAAATATGAAATCCCATTTGACTTCATGAAGGGTCCGGCTTCTATTTGCACCACTGCCATTGATTTCCTGTTTTCAGTTTGCAACTTTGCACAAGGTTTGGTGCTAGGTCATCGGGCCGACATGACCATCAATAACTAAAGTCAGAACGCTTGGCAAAATTTGTCACTGTCAAAACCAGCCCACCGGGAGTGTCGTGCAGTCGTGACAGTGGTGGTAAGTTCCGCGAAATGTCCAAGCCTAACAGGGTCTGCAAGTCGACTCAACTTGACAACTAGAATAGTCTGACAATGGCACACGCTGCCAAGTCCTAGCCTCGCGCGACGTAATGACAGAAGCCAATTGTGATGTTCTCGAGGCTAAGGAGAACCATCAATCGTCAACTCCGACCTACCTAGAGAGGAGGCATCGAGAGAAGTCATCCATCCTCAGAAGGAGACTTGCTCAGATGATTAGTGAGCCGATAGGTCAAGTCCATCATCACTGCTGCCATCGGAAAACATATTTGAGGTTTGGCGTTACCTAATAGAGGGACTTGGTCTGTGAAAACAAAGGGGCTTGTGGGGTCATCGAGCATGAATGATGCAGAAGACCGAACCTTGAACTTGTTAATGTGCATTTGCCTCTGGGCTACTGCAGGAACCAGTAGCGTAAATTGATTCTCAAAAGATCTGGTGAATCCTGGTCGGACCATACGTTCATTGTTACACTGCACCGCAGAAAAAGGAGAAAAACTAGCAATGGTACCTGACCAAAATTGCCAAAAATATAGATAGCGTGGTGGCTTGCCATGCAACTACGATGAATGTGGTCTAGCTTCGGTCAACATCAACACAGCTGGCCAAGCTACCTTACTCGATGAAAGAAATCAGCTGCCATTGTGGCAGCTTTCACAGACCATTGAATCCGAGTCGTCATCCCGATTTCCGAGGGCTTCTGTTGCACGGTCGCTGACGCGTGTTCATCACTGGGACGACGACGGCCCGTCGAGCATCAAAGCCACAAGAAGACCCCGACTCTTGGCTTCGCTGGGCGCCATCGGCAGCCAGCTCGCCGTGCACGCTGACATGCTTGGCACGGATGCCAATACCTCGGATTTTGCACAAACAATGTTTACTTGCTGTCACTTACACGCGGGTAAACAACGAACATGGGCCTTCAGGTTGCGGCCGCAAGCCCAACACATGACCCTGAAGCTCAGCAACGCGCAGAGATAGTCGGCTGCAAAAAGCCGTTTTAGGCTTTTGAGTGTAGTTTATCGCCTTGACCGGTCAGAGTTACACGGAGTCTCATAGTCGAGAAGTGGATGTGTGCATAATCGTATCTGCACCGTTTAGGTAGAACGGGCGAGACTCACAAGTGACTCCACCCTCCCTCGCGGTTGATCTGATGATGCCCACCTTTGCACTCAGTCGGCCATTCTCCTCATAGAACCTCAGCTCACCTGAAAGATGCTAATTGATGCAGCGTCTGTCTAACGGCTAGCTAATGGGGTCATATCATGCTCGGTCGACCTAGACTAGGTCTAGCTTACAGGAACAAGGATCAAAGCGCTACAGGAGATCCCGAGTTACCCGCTCTGGCGTTTTCGGGACTAATTGGGACAAAGCCATCCATTTAGAGCCGCTTCACAGTTGGCTCGATCAATGAATCAGGGATAGGGCAACAAAGGAAAAGTTTCCAGATCCCAATAGAGCACCTCTTGAAACATTCCACTTTCTTTGTGGGATCGACATACCCGCTGCCCCAGACTGCCGTTACTCGCGAATCGCGAACGCAGTAAGCGGGACGGTGCTTCAGGAGAGTGACGATGTGGACCTCACTTACACTGGCCTTTCTCGACTCCGATCAAGTTGCCGACACTACGGATTGGACTGCACGGAGATCGGTCTCACCGTTCACTAAGAGCTCTGACCTCTGGCAACCTGAACTACGGATACGATGGACCACACTTCTGGGAGGTGCTCAGAGCTTGTACGAGGCGCCAGTCGGCCAACGGGTGCCGTAATACGCTCCAAAGAAGAAATGTCAGCTCAATGTGGTCTAAACCCGCGATGTCAAGATACGCCGCCACATATGATCGCAACAACAACAACTGTATATAACCAGCCCTCATGTCCAGGCTCATTTAGTTATTCTCTCCTCATCTCAGCAGCTTCGATCACTTCTCACCTTGAGCATCACATTCTCTTCTGAGCCAGAGTATCTCCTTCAACAACATTCATTCAAACTTTCTGCTTCCAGCTCAACGCGAGCCTCGTATCATCAACATGCGTTACTCCTTGAACATCATCGCCCTCGCGGCTCTCGCGTCGGCCGCGCCCACCACCACCGCGCCCATGGACTTCGATGCCATCATGGGTGCCGCTGCACCCACCCTGACTGGACCTCCTGCCCTGGCCACTGGCCAGACTGGCGTCTACGACGCGGCTGCTGCATCTCAATCTGCCGCCGCCGCTGTCACCGGCGTCGCTTCTGCCAGTGCCACTCAGTCCGTCGCGGCTCGTGGCCTCGACAAGCGCACTTTCTGCTTCTTTGGCTTCTGCTGGGGATCTCCCTCCACCACTTCGTCCGCCAAGACTACCTCGATCTGCACTACTTCCACCACTCCCGCTGCCGTCACCACTCCCAAGACGACCGCTCCTGTCACAACTACGGCCGTGACCACTGCCACTGCCGCTACCATCACCACTGCTCCCACCGCGCCTTCGACCTGCACCCCGGTCAGCTGGACCAACACCTTCGCGTTCACCACTGCTTCTGGTTGCGCTGAACCTTTCGAGGTTGGCACTTACTGCGGATTCATCAACCCTGAGGACCCTTGCGCTGTCCAGCCCGATGGATACGGTACTCAGGTCCAGCCCGACACCGTCGAGGCTTTCCAGTCTTTCGCCCAGTTCCACAAGGAGGCTCAGTCGGCCGCCAACCCCTCCGGATACGCCAACACCTTCAAGGACCTGAGCGCTGCTGTCAACGCCAACAGCTACCTCGGTCTCTACACCCTCAAGAGCTACGACGTCGCCGCCTGCGCTGCCAAGTGTGACGCCACCAACCTGTGCACCGGTATCAACATCTACGTCGAGCGTGACCCCTCCATCAACCCCTCCGGCTGCTCTTGCACCAACCCTGCCTCCATCTCCAACTACAAGTGCACTCTCTGGGGCTCCGGCGTCGACAAGGCTGCTGCTGTCAACACCGGCCAGACTCGTGATGGCTTCCAGGTCGTGATCACCGGCTCCAACGGCTACGAGAAGACCAACACCACCACTCCCACCACTCCCTCCGGCTGGACCAACCCCCAGGGCTGCGGCGGTGTCGTCCACTCCCACCCCAGCACCTGCATGGGACAGAAGTTCTTCCCCGGTCCGTTCGATGCCAGCCTCTGCGCTACCTACGCCGCTGCCCAGAACGCCCAGAACTCCAAGTCTGTCGGCCTCAGCTCCTGGGCCAGCTTCCTCGGCTACAGCCCTCTGAAGTGCAACTTCTTCAACGCCTTCATGGTCAAACAGAACGGTATTGCCAAGGGTACCTACTGCAGTCTCTTCACTCAGCAGTACAACCCCTCTGCTGCTTCTTACACTCCTTCTTTCTCCGCTGGATTCTCCTGGAGCATTGAGAGCTCCTGGTCCTTCTGCTCCAAATAAGCGGGTTTTTTGACAGATTCGCCTGCTATTCGCTCATTAATCTAGAATATGGTGTTGGTTGTAGACTTTGCATAGTCCGAATTGTTGGTCACTTCATTCGTTAATACTGTACATTTCAAGGTCATGGCAACTAGAGTGGGGGATTTCTATCACATATTTAATTTAATCAACTTTCGTTCTCTACATTCGTCTCATTCTTTCTCCGCAATATGCCACTATCTTTGGGAACATGCAAGACTCAGAAGCAAAAGCCCGTTCCATTTCTCACATCAAATTGAACTAATCTCATGCACCAAACTGAAAGTGTCACGTGTACGAGTCCCTTGGCACGGCCCTACATTACGTACTAGTAGATAAAGGCACAACACACTCTGGTGATATGAAAGGGATAGTAGAGCCCCCTACCTTCAAGTAAAAGCCCTTGGATTGTCACACAATGCAGGGTTCATTGAAACGGATGGACATGTAACTTTGTAGACAATTAGTTCCATATGCACACTGTCTAGTGTGGCCGGCAAACCGATTGCAGTTGACACTTGAATGTTCTCTTACCACGTAATACAGAATCCGTCGCGTAACGAAGGTTCGTACCATAGAATCTGCAATGATACGTAACTGTCTTTGACGGAAATTGGAAGACCTTCCATTGAGCAGGACCATTACTCGTGTACTCCAAGGTCTCATCGACCAGATTAATACTTGACGAGTGTGTCCAACACGGAAAGTTACTGCAAGACTGCGGGTATTAAGCCTCCGACCTCCTTCTACAGCATTTCGGCTCATTGCAGTCGATCTTTCTGAGCTCTTGGTACGACTCAAAACCAACCCGCCAATCCTGCAAACTTGGACCCTGGGGCTGCCATGGCACTGCTGACGACATGGGTGAACAGCCACCTTGGATTCACACTCAATACTGTTGGAACCTTTATGCCCGCAGCCTTCATTATCAAAGAAGCTATTCCCGAGAAACCTATCGCGGAAACTTGGGTGACCGTGGTGACGGGAGCAGGAGGCGATCTCAAGGATGCTGGCGGTGTCTTTCCTGATGTTGCCATTTGGGACGATAATGGCAACAGAATAGGACGATACCGCACCAAGCTAGGCGACAAGGTAGCACAGAGCAGCGAGCGAACCGTCAAGATACCGAACGATGAGAACAACGGGCAGATATCTGATCCCCAATATGTCATGTTGAGTCACGATACCGACGCAACATGCATTGCAATGGTCCAAGTTTCCAACGGCCGACTCAGTGGGACGGTCTACGGAGATACTGGATACAAATGCGGTCAAGCATGGTACTACAGCCAACGGAAGTTCAAGGGTGGTAACCTCATGACCAAGTGTGTATGGTTGGACTCAGATCACTCCCATCCCAACTTCAACGCCAGGGCTATGAGTTTTCACCTCAGAGACATGCTGCCTTCGCCTGATAAGTTGAAATTGTACAATAGCGAGTTGTCATACCTGTGTAAAAGCACACCTCGGTACTCTTTCTGGAAGCATCTCATACCAGACGGCGTTGTACCATTCTTCTACCCAGTTCTGAAGTACAACAAGGATTCCATCAACCCGAAACTTGAAGGTACAAATGAAAATCCCATCGAAGCCCTAGATCGCTTCAAGTACAATAAGGACGTATACGTGCAACAGGGCGAATCGGAAAAGCAGTATCGAAAAAGGAGGAGAACTCACTCCACGCGCCTGAGTAAGAGACAAGGTTCAAACATGGATCCTGATCACCTAATCTTGACCGAGATACCGGGTCAGACGGCTCGGGAGATCTGCGAACACCCCAACTCAGTCGGGTATGACATCGTCTCGTTTGTCGACAGGAAATACTGCAATCTCACGAAGAGGAAACTCTACGATTTTTGTGCCGGTAGCATCACGACCAATTGTTTCGACGTCAACAGTACGACTATTGTTGGAACTCAAGGTCTCATAGGGAGGAGTAGAAACTCCACAAAGGGGCAAATCGCAAAGGTTTACAAAACGCGGGCTCATTGGAAATGAATGTGCGTACATGTTTGGGCTTTTAGGCGCATTGTGATATGGGAGGATACGCGATAACCAGCCGATATCTTATTGACTGACTACACCAGCGAGGTCTCCTTTTCTAGTTTGATGTTACTATCTATACCCACTTCAACATAGTTTGAGCCATAAAGACATCATATCACATACGCTTACCACTTGTCCCATGTCACTGGATGTCTGAATCAGGTAAGCAGACATGGAGGTTCAAGATCGCGCCCACTCGTATGCATGGAATAGGGGTACACTCCGGCGACGGCTTGAGACTCGGAGCGAATAGACACGCTCGTCCGTCTGCTGTCCTTCCGTTCCTACCTTCCTCTTCCGGCAATCAGGCCGGCACGGAGGCCGAGACTCCCACCGCTCTCCCCACCTCTCGGCTCTCGGGCCTCGCCTTTGTGGACGAGTTCCTCAAAGGATTGTACGTGACAAGCAGCATTGGTACCTGTTCGATATCAATGGCCCGCGATCATTGCTAAATAGTCATTTAAACGAGGAAAGAGGAAAAGCACGGCAGCGAGTGTCTAACGAGATCGAACTAGAAATCACGAGTTTGCGGGCGGTGCAGTCATTTGGCCTCTCTAAAACGCATTGTATCGTCCGATCGCGAGCGAGTTGACGAGCTTCATCGCAAGTAAATGAGCCAATTTTGGTGGTTGGATATTCTCTATATGCTGACTGTCATGAACGTCGCAACTCCCGCATGGTCTAAAACAAAGCAATCGGATTCGTTGAGTTGGCAGTCCGCTGCTGCGCCACGTCCCAATGTTCCATAACGCAAGTCCCGTTGAATCTGAAAACGTCCACCACGGCAAACGGCTGCCCTCCACCCACGAGATCCATGCGGTAGTGAATAAATGCGATGTTGTCCTGGAAGTTCTTGTTCATGATGGTGTAGTTGACCGTGTTCGGAGAGATGAAAGGCTCGAGGACGGCAAGAGAGTTCGCGCGACCGGAGAGAGCGCCAGGGTTGTGCTGGATGTAGTCTTCGGCGACGTGGTTGAGGAGGGCCTTGGTTGCGTTTCGTTCTTCGTAGAAGGCTTGCATGAATTCTCCGAGAATGACCTTTTGCTGCTCTGGTGTTGCCGGACGAGGAGGGCAGTACGGCGCGGAGCCTTGACGCGGCGCGAGGGCGCTTGTTGTCCAGGCGAGGGCGCTGACGCCGAGAGCGAGTAATGAAGATGTACGCATTGTGCTGTGGTTTTGTGTGTTGCGATCTTTTGACGTGTTTTGTTTTCCCGTGTGGTAGATGTGTACAGCGATGTTCTCGAGGGTGTCGATCGGAATGATCTTATACACGAGGCGGAGTGCAGAGGAAAGAAATGCCGATAATCAGATAGATTAAATGGCTCTTGGTAGGAGAAATAGCAGGTTGCAACACTGATAGGAGTTCATCCAAACTGCGCCATGTGCCTCAATGCTAAGAAACTCTAATACTATAGACCCTTGTTGATCCCTGCTCAATACCATTGGCAATGACCAGAACTGGGAAGTCGCAGTCGGATTAGGGAATGACCAATGGTTTAGTGAGCGTTTTACTCATAATGTCCTACTTGTAAAGCCGACGGGATTACTTGGATTTCGAATACTCAGTGTCCTTCTGGTGCTGCCTCGAAGGGAACGATAATCTTGAAAGGACAGTGATCTCTCAATCGCCCAGAACTCAGAATTGTGTTGCAATAGTGTCCGATCCTATACTTCAGTCCTGCAAGATTGACTATTCGAACGATCTGAAGTGCAACAGACGGAGCATCAGCTCGATTCTGGAAGCATTGAAGAATGGGGTCCCCTGGTGACGATCCTCAGCCCATCGGCACAGTGCCGAGCAAGGCCCGCGGTAGCGCATGGTTTCTAGGTTTCGGGAGTGGATACCGAAGCAGATGTTCCTGGACTAAGTCATCTATATCTTTCTTGACACCTGTTGACTAATCTGAGGTGATGACAAAAAGTGCGGGAAACTGGCATCAAATTGATTCCGATAGGCGGTGCTCGCACCTATATCGAGACCGTAGAGAAATCATACCTCACTAAAGGTACCCAGTAAAGAAAGCTGCATGCATATGACACTAAGGCGACCCAAGTTCTAACGTGGGCTATCTGCAACATGCATGAAGACCACACCACCAACATCGCCGTGTATTCACATTGTCAGAATAAGACTCAGCAAAATCCAAAAGGGCGTCCCGAAAGCCACTCACGCGGGGTTGTGACTCGAAGTATGTCGACTGGCTCCGCGACGGCCACTTTTGAAACACAGGCAAGGAGCAATGCAACAAAGGCGCTTCGGACGCCGGAAGCGCCTAAGACGAACAACAGACCAGAAGACTTGACCGCAGCGGTGCCACGAGAACAAGGGGACTGGCTGTAACCATCGCCGCGGTGGACATATCAGCCTTTCGACTCTTCCATTGCGACTGTGAACCAGCTTCGGGTCATTAAAGTCTCCACTCTGGTTCTCGAGTCAGCATCGGCGTTTGCAACGTGACCGAGGCCTGAGCACGCCGCCGCCGACGGCATGTTGAAAGGCCGCAGCCAGTCGCTCAATTGCTCTTCTCAGGAGCTTCCGTCTTGTGAACGTGGAGTGACATATTGCTAAATAAGGTACTAAGCAAAGAGCATATCAAATCATGTCTTTGGCTGATGAAGACATTCTCTGACTGGCTGACGGCGCATGGATGGGAGAAAAGCCAGTTCTGGACGCCTTCGGCGTCTTTCCTCTGAAAGATTCATAAAACATAGTAGCCAATCAAAGCTCAGTGCCACTGACTTGTCGGCATTGAATGGTTGTAGAAACACTCACCATTGTCTTGTAAGTTGCCAGAGAGCTTGTCGAGCAAGTTAGAGAGGTTCTCTAGTTGATTATCCCGAAAGAAATAAAGGGCTCGGCATTACTGCATTGTCAATCAATCCGATCTAGCGTTTACTTGAGGCGCAACGTTGTGCTGAGGCCCAAGGAGGAATGATGCCGAACCTGGAGAGAAGTAGGAAACCTGGATCTGACCCCCGCAAGCACCAGAAGACGTCATGCCCCGAATGTTTTCTAGATTCAATTACTGTTTCTAGATTGATGGACGATTCCAGATTTTCGTGTAAACAAAGGATGTTGTTCGTGTGTGCTGGCAAGGATTTATTCCAAGGCTGATGTGCGACGATTTCGTCATCTGGTCTCGATGTTGGTGAAGCTGAATGCATTGTGTAAGTGAGAACGAATAGATCAATTTTGTACGACAATGCTGTCTGCCCCTCCCTCTGGAAGTGGAAGCGCATGATTGGGTTTAGGCTGGCTAGGTTTCCTTGCAATATTGCTCTCGAATCAGATGCGATCAGTCTCACAGCATCTATGAGGTAGGACAAAAGGGATGAAATATGACCGTTTTCCTGTAAGGGGTAACACGCGGGCGACTACACCTGCCTGCTCTTAGCATTCCAGAAAGCAGTGCTCCCGGAAAAACTCGACAAAGAGCAATGATTTTGTTGCTTCGCTTATCTGAAATTCTTCGAAGGGCTATCCGGCCCCGAATTCAGCAGGGTCCGAGCGGCCTGATTTAGCTTCCGCTTGGGGCTGAACTATTGATGTGACGGCGGTGGGATCTACGACAGCGACAACTAAGCTAACCATGTATGTTCATTGAGAAAAACGCGATAAGTCACCAACAACGCGTCTGTTCTAATCATGAAAGGGGTGAGCCACAACCCTTGGGCGATGCTCTGGAACGCAGCGCTGGCATACAAGGGATGAACACTCCCTCGAAGGAAAACTCTCAAAACCTCACCCAAAGCCTTTTCTCTTTCCCCATGGGGATCCTTTCTAGAGGCCGCTTGAATCGCAGGTCTACCCACAATAACCACATCATGGGCATCGTCGGAAGGTACCCGAAACGGCGCTTCGGCCGCTTCACCAATGCGGCTGCAGTAAGCGTCTTTTTCCTATTCTTGTGGGTGTTCCGTGAGCAGCTGGGCCTCGATCGCGTGGGCATGGATTCGAGCATGGTGCCGTGGATTCCGCGACTAGCCCACCAGGACATCTTTGACTTTGAGCCGGTCAATTCGGATGTCATCCGGGGGGTTTGCGACAGGACAGAGTGGGATGCAGGGAAGGCGATGCAAGTTGTGTTCACATGCGACAACAACGTCGGCGGGATCGGAAACATCCGTAACTCGATCTTGAACTGTGTACGATATACGATGCTGGCTGGAGGCTCATTGGTCATGCCGCGCATCTTCAAGCGCAACGACTCGGACATCTCTCACATCCGGACGGGACGGCGGCAGGAGATGGAGTACCTCTTCGACAGGCAACACTTCATCGACTCGCTGCATCTCTCGTGCCCACAGCTGCGCCTCTACAACGACACCGACGAGGTCTACGAATCTCTTGGACCAGCGCGAACATGGTCTCTCGGCCTCTTCCCAGAATCCCTCGTCGATGAGGAGCACATCGCCAGCACGGGCATCGAGCGCCCGCAAAAGTGGCGGTCGCAACTATACCGGTGGCTCGAAGACATCAACAACACCACTGACGCCGCGCCGACAGGGCGCCTCACAGAGGGCCCGATGATGGTGGACCTCGGCCGGTCGTACCTCACCTACCCGATCCATAGCGATGGCGAGGTCTTCGCAAACACCTTTGGTACCATCCTCGAGTTCCGCGCGGATGTTCGGCAGCTCGCGAGCGCCACGATCCTCAGCATCAACAAGCATTTCTTCGGCGCGCACCTGCGCACTGAGAAGGACGCTCTAGACAACTGGAATCCGGCGGACCCGACGTGGGAGTGGTCCGAGTACAGCAAGCAGACGAACGCATTCTTTGACCAGGCGAGTCGAGCGGGTCTGTCAGTCATGTACGTCGCGTCCGGGAATGAGACACAGGTGGCGATGCTCGAGGAAGACGCCGTGCCGCGTGGGGTACGGGTCGTGACGAAGCAGGACCTGCTGACGGGGAAGAACCGCAAGAGGCTAGATGCGTTGACGTGGGATCAGAAAGGAATGATTGACTTTCTGGTCATGTTGGGAGCGGCGCAGTTTGGAGGCGTGGGACACTCGAGTTTTGCATGGAACGTCGCACTGAAGAGGCATCTCTTTTCCAAGGAGATTCCTAAGGAGAAGGACTCGTTCTTGAAGGGGCCGCAGATGCTCAGTGACGATATGAGTCAGATTTATGGCGTGCCGGGGAAATATCCCGAGTATGCGTCTTGTTTGTGGCCATGATATTTTTGCAGGTAAGGTGTTAGTCGAAAGAAAAAGACCGTTTACTGTTCACCCTTGAATGAAGCTGTATTCTCACATTACCTAAGCGCCAGCATGTCCACAAACAGGAGGCCAGGGGGAGACATTTTGATCATCATCCTGGAGGCTTACTAAGCTGCAGGATGCGCGGGGTTTCTTGATTGAACAAGCACTCTCTCCCGATCACTCTTTCACACCACCCATCACCCGAATGCCAAGACGAATGCCAAGATGGAGGCTATTCCGGACCCCAGAGATCTTCCATCGGACCCACGCCTTCCGGGCCAACAGCCTCGATATTCCCGTGACAACATCATCACCTCTCTTGCGACTTTCTACCAAAGTCTGCCGCACATCGACCCCTCCCTAGTTCGTCGCGCGCCGTCGGGGGGTTGGCCAGAAATTACCCCTGAGTCGCTCGCGGCCTCGGGAATGAGACATTTGAACGAGCGAGTGGTAGACTTAATCAAGCATCTACCCTACATTGATGGCAACCCCCTTTGGATCACTCCGGAAACTTTCCCCATCAACTACCTTACCGCCGTGTCTTTGATACCAGCCGTTGGAGTGTTCAAGCCCAAATGGCTGCATGCTCTGTCCCATGACCTTCAGTCATTTGAAGGCTTTCCAGCTTGGGTGATCCCCCTCACTATGAGTGTCAACAGGGACGGCGACATATGGATACTGGACACGATGGATGGCACAGTGACCAAGTACATCATTACGGGCGCTGTTTACCCCGAACCAGCAGGGAGATATGAAAAGGGCGACCCTAGGATGTGGAGAGAGACACTGTGCGATGATATCACTCTTCCACTGGAAGCGTGGCTAGAAGAAATCATCGACAAGTACAAGACATTTCAGTACTTTGGCCTTCCCCGTCATGACCACCCAGGTGTCCTGTCGCAAGGCCTTTGGGCCGAAGAAACAGAAGTAAGCTGCCGCGCACCTAGTTTCGATGAACCCGACTAACCTTTCTCCGAGGCACTCCAAGAGATTGTGATACAAAACGGGTGGCCAGAAGACTACAATGGCGAGGAGGGCCGCAGGAAACTAGCGGAATGGTTGAAGAAGGCAGTAATCTAGTGTAAGGATCAATCAAGCGGCATAGGCACGTCACGAGCAGAGGTATGAACAGCAGAGTTTGTGAAGTTGTATTAGAATCTACAGTCAAGATCTAAACATATCAGATACCAGTATACATAGGAATATCAGAGTCAAACGACCGTCCAGGTTGGCTCGGAGGAACGGCTTGGACGACGCTGTGTTCATGGACAGGCGTTGCCTCAGGTGCCGGCGCTTCCGCGGGCGAGTTGGCCGCCCTCTCGGCCTTGTCCCTGAACGTTCTAGCGACATCCTTCAGCTTCTCAATCTCTCGTGAGCAACTACTATCTGTGCACTCATCGAAGCCAAGGTGATCGCGCAGCTCCTCTGGAGTCGCCACCCTGGTAGAGTTAACGCCCTCCACCACTAAGCCTGCTGGCTCAACCCAACGCTTCTGTGCCGGACCATTCGGCCAGGTAGCTCTCAGAGCTGCCTCTGCGGCGTGCGTATCAAAATATTCATCCTCGTTGAGGAGAGCGTAGCCGGGGTGCTTCACTCCGTTGATCGTCGGCACACAGATATTGTCCGCGACACCATAATCGTCAGAGTCATCAGGGAGACCATCAAAGTCGAGCTCCCAAACGAGACGTGAAAGTGCCACCTTTGTCAAATGCCACTCGATGGGCACTCGGGCATCTGGGTTGATGACGGTGGTGGTCGAATGCATATCACTGGCCACAGGCGGCTGACGGCACTTGTCGAAGATCTTTCCGGCTTCTCGGTTGTCGACCAGGTCGAGATAGCGAACCATCTGTCCATCTACCGAGGGTGGCTTTGCACTGAGCAATCTCCGTACCTCTGTATCACTATCCTTGATCATGGAGGTGAGCAAGCTGTACCCATCGTTCACAGGTGCCATGACAGCTGGCGGGTATTCGTCTGGGGAGCATCCGTTAGGCGCAGCGATGACGGGATCCCAGAGGGCTGTCGATCGCTGTTGGTTGAAGACTCCCGTGATGGGGCGTTTCTTGTCGTCGATCTTGCGGTAAGGGCAGGTAATGGTCTTGTACTGAGGGTAGTTGTCCACAATGGACTTGTAATTCTTGCAAGCCTCCGGATAGACGCCCCCATTGCCATTGCAAGGAATCTTGTAGCCGTTGCCTGCAAGCTTGCTGGTTGAGACTACGATTTCACTGGTTCGATGGGATGTCATATAGCGCTTTTGTCTCTTGCAGGGTCTCCCATCATCCGCACGCTTAGCGTTTGAAGGACACGAAGAGGTCTTTGCCGGTGACTGCGGAATATTAGCATTTGGCTGCATGTGGAAACTTGACGAAAGATGGTGAAAGAAACATACATGAGTAGACTTAGGCGGCCGTGACACTGTCTTGGATGGCTTGTTGAACGAAACGGAGTGTTCCTTGCCGAAAACCTTGAATACCGCTTTGCCTTCTTTCTCAATGCCGTCGGTACAAAGTTGAATCAGGGCTGGTGTCGCGGCGATCTCGGCGATATCCAGAATTTCGCCTAGAATCATCCACGTTAGAATGTAAAATGCAGGGGCGAAGTGAAAGAGGCATGGAAGTCGCGGAACATACCAATAATCGGGATCGCAGCCTCAATCAACTCCAAGGGTGCTAAGAGAGCAGGAATAGCGAGTCGACAGAAAGCCTTGGCCGCAATGTCGAGAGCTGCTTGCTCAGCCGCCTCTTCGGCCAACTCCTCGGCCTTTTCTTTGGCTTCCTCCTCTAGCTCTTCTTTCGTCGGAGCTGATTCGAAGCCCTTGCAGCAGTAACTCTGAATACCACCAGTGCACGTCTGGTCGCCATTCTTGCTGTGGTTGTTCGTATCCTGGAGGACCTCGGTCTCTTCATCATCACAGCCACCCATGCATGACAGACCTAGACCGCGGTAGCCGCGCCACTTGCAAGTGCCCATGGTAGTGCCATCATCGCAGCAGAGCGTGCGATACTTGTTCTTGTCGCAGCGATCACTGGTTGAGAGCATGCCGGGCTGCCCATTCATCTGGGTGACCGGGTTAGTGCCCTTCTTGCAGCTCGCTCCGCAATCTGTCGTGTAACATGAAACTCCGGCGGCAAGTCCTTGAGCCATTTCCTGGGCGTCTTCTTGCTGACCAGTGGTGACACCAGAAGCGGGAGCCAATCCATTGTCTTCTCCCTGGTCTCTTTGATCCATGGCCCAGACCTAAGTCACTGAATTAGCTTGTCAATTACTCTAGGTAGAACAGTAGTATTGCTCACCATTGTGCCTCCCAAGCAGCGGGAGTTGGCAAACTTGCGCTTCTGTTCAAAAGTGTCGTCGTCGTCGTACGAGACCCACTGATTGTCATCCCAGGTAATCCATTTCACCATGGCGTCCTTGTCCCACACGGGTTTTACGCCGTTGTAGTCAATGACTCCGTTGATCTCTTGCAGGGTCAAGATGCCCGATGCGTTGGAACACTGTCCTGCCAAGGCACCACCAGAGAATTGGCACACGCCATTGGGCTTGTTGCAAGATGGGTCAGAAAGCGTGAAGCTGCGTCCGTACCATCCGAGGCCCAGAATGACCTTGGCAGGCTTTACGCCAGCTCTCCATAGGAGGTCGAGACCCATGTCAATCTCAGTAACATTAGTATGAGGCGCAAGGTAAGGCCCAACGAACTTAGACGCAGCGTCCCAAGTTCCGTGCACTTCCAAGTTATGTTAGTCCAAGATTGAGTAATGTCGTGTTGGAGATTGAGTGAGACTCACAGTCATAAGCCATGAAGTTGAACCAATCGACATCTGCTGCAATAGATGCAAGATCAAAGTGCTGAAGATACCAGTATGACGTCGGCAGCGTCATTGAAATCCCGTAGCGTGAGCCTGGCAGAGGTCAGTCGAGCCGAAATGTCATTAAACTAGATAGGAATCTCACCAAAAGCAGCCCTGAGCTCTTTCGTAAGAAGAGCGTAGTTCTTCTTGTCTGCTGTGACGCCGCCTCTATCGTCGGCTTGAGGGTACTCCCAGTCAAGATCAACACCGTCGAAACCATACTACAAGTTCATAGATGTCAGTCTTAGGAAACATTCCCTTCAATGACGCTATTCAGACTGGACTGTTGATGGTATCTTACGTGCTCCATGAAGTCAATCAGGCCAGAGATGAACCTCTGCCTGTTACCAGATGTGCTCGTCATGTCGCTGAAGGCTGTCCTGGTAGCTCCGGGGTCGGTGAATGACCAGCCACCAACAGAGATCCAGGCCTCTAACCCGGCGTTGTTCTTCTTCAGTGCTGTGAATCGGCTGTAAAGCTTGCCAGTCTCGGTGTCCATGGGAGCAATCTGGAAAGTCCGTGGGTCAAAGAATGCAAATGCAAAGTTGATGTGAGAGAATCCGTTGAGGTTGAGGTCCTCCGGTGAAACTGCTTGGCAACTGCGAGTGTTGGACCATCCCTCATAGTAACCAATTGTGCGTTTGGAGACAGAATTGCCTGAACAAGATGGTCTTGTGACATTTCCACAGCCGCCGAAATCTTTTTGGCAGCCTTTACCACAGAAATCACTTGTAGAACCACAGAATCTGATGCATATTGATCAGCGAATGCATGGTTGATATGGAAAGGTAGAGGTTCATCAACTCTATCACTTACCCGAACTCAGAACAGCAGACACTCAAGGGGCATTCCTGAGAGCCTTCTTTGCCGTACTGTCCACATTGAGCTTTGGCATCACAATTTGATGTGCAATTGCCCTTGCCACACTCTGTTGGAGAGTAGCCGCAAAGCCCATTGGAACCACAGCACGCGGCATTCTCACATGGAGTGTCTGCATTGCATGTGCCAGTCGGAAGGGCTCGTCCAGTAAGAAGGTGGTCAAGAGAAGGAATTGAATAAGGAGTGATAGGCGCAACGTGGTTGTTAGAGTCTAAAGGAACGGCTGAAATGAGGAAAGGAATGGCTGCCATGAAGGCGTAAAGTAGAGTGAGTGGAAACATCCCCGCGGCCTTGGACGACACTTTGGAGTCTGGAATGATGCGTGACTCTGAAGCGAACCAGTTTCCAGAGCAGGACGGCAGCTCCCAAGACACAAATATTGCAATCGTGTTAACCCAAACTCAGCTCTTGATAATCGAGAACCGGCGTGTTGTTCATCAACAGGCAACAACAGCGTGCTCGCTTGCTGGCTCCTGATCCACCCCGGGCTGCAGGGGTCATAGTCGCATTTCGACGCGGACCATTTGATGCACAGTGAGATTAAGCTGATGCTATGGGTACATGAAGCGCCGAATACCGCCCATTTCAGATAGAATTACGGATGCAGATTGCTAAAACCTCACCCATGAACACCCTCAACATGTTGATCCAGGCTCTGATGATCAGACTGTCTCGGCGGCTTCGACCGGCTTGGCAGGATTTCCTCGTCAGCCTGACTTGAGATGGAATCAAATGACCCTCTTTTGACTGAATTATCATCTCACCTGCTTCCGAAGCCATCCCAAATTCAAGACCAACGGCCGCAGGGAGTAAGCAGGTTGGTTGCATGGAGCTGGCGATGTGACCCTTCAAGCCCTGTTGGGCGGAGAATGTCATCTAACCCCCGGCCCCTGTCACAAAAAAGCTTACCTGGACTTGGCTACTCTTGGCCGGTCTTGGCTTCCCTCGGCACGAAAGTGCCGCTGACATGAACCACTTTTTGAGTCCAGATGACTGCTGTGCCGTAGGCTACTGAACGGCATCGGGCCGCTGTGCTTACTTGGAGGCAAGAAAGATTGAGACAACTCCTTTTCCTTGCAGTTTGGACTAGCAGGCAAACCTATCAAAACGCGTCGCAGCTCGCTCAAAGGAAAAAAGATGCGATTGCCGACTCAGTTGCGGGACATCCGACTCCGGCAAGGATTTCAACCCTGCAGAATGAGCTCCCGTCGCGTGCAGTTCTTCAATCTCCTCGGCTTCAATATCACACGGCCAGGGTAGAGCGTTCCTTGCAGGCCCCATACTTAGAAGCTGCAGCCTGCGGCCTAATGCAACTTCCCTTAGCACTTTGGTACCACTGCTGTCAGACCAATTTCCGGCCTACTAGTGCCAAATCTGATGCTGACAACATCAATGAGAGACTCGAACCAGCTGATCATCTGTCGATGTCTTTCTCTTCCAGTCAATTGTGAATGAGTCCGAGATCCATATACCGAAGGCTTCGCACATGAGATGAGCCGCAGCACCAATTTCGTGTCCGTCCATTCCTTACCAGCACAAAGCCCGCCGCTCTAGCCAATTTACTTCATCATGGAGAGTCACTCATTGTGGCTTCTGTTCGTTGCACTTAGTTTTCTGCAAACATGTCACTCTTTCAACCTTTACCCAGCTATCAACGGCGATAAGCTCGCCAAGTCACTGAACGTCACATCAGACTGCATTGCAGCACTGTGAGTGTCTTTAACCTGTTACCTCTTATACTATGCCTGGGCTAATGATTGAGATAGAAACCAAACTATTCCAGAATGTGATCAGACGTTACTGCAGATGACGATGAACGTAGAGAACTACTGGTGGACCGATGACAACCTCACGGCTGTCTGCGACTCAGGCTGTGCTGAAGCCGTTGGATCGTGGAACTATAATGTCTCTGATCCTTGCTTCGAGCAGTCTTTCACTGCATATGGGAAGCTTGTACCCATATGGACGGTCACTGAGCGAGTTGTGGACAATCTCATCTTTGCATGTTTGCCGTCTCGGTTAGTCTCGTTGCCTGAAGCCATCTCTGTGAAATCATACTAATTGCCTAAAGATCCGATAACTACACATACTGTCTCACAGAGTCGCAGGAGTGGGTCGGAGCTGATGTGTTGCGGGTCGACTGTGATGCCAATCCCTCAGATCCCACTTGCGGCGGCAACTCCACGGACATCCCCGAGGCGAACGTTCGCCTAGCCAACCTGTACGAAGACGATATTGTGAGTCGGACTTCTGTGATGTCAACGTAGGACTCACTGACATGACATCAAGTTATGCAATGACTGTTTTATAAATCAGCTTTACACTCGCATCTCGTCCATCTTCGTCCCGGATACCGACTACTCAGAATATCTCGCAGATCAGATTTTTGACATCTCAGACGTTTGCAACAAAACTATTCCCGACTTCACTGTTGCACTGCCTTGGGATTATCAGACTGCATCGACACTGTCTTCCGTAAACGTGGGATCTTCGACGACTGCCGTGGCCACTGCCACCTCCACGGCCGCTGCCACGACCACATGCGTCGGTCAGACTCTTGGCTCTGCCGCTGCATCAAAAAGAGATAATGCTTTGGACTGGATAAAAAGATCTGCGCCTGGATTAGAGCCTAGGCAGGCATCGTCATGCGATGACTTGTCGTCTCAGTATGGCGTAAGCACTGGCGCACTTCAGTGGTTCACCAACAGTGAAACCTGCGCTGTCTCTGGCTCAGTGTGTCTTCCTCAGCGGTGCACATTACAGAAAGTTGGAAGCAACGAGACGTGGTGAGTATCACGAACCAATTTCTGCCAGCTGCTTTAAGTGCTAATGAACGTCCTCAAAGTGCGAGTATCGCGGCATCCATCGGCGGTGACACTACTATCGTGCAGTTTAAGAAGTGGAATACCTACGTCCTTGGACTTTGTGACAGTCTTACAGAGGGCCAGTGGGTATGCGTAAGGTAAGGAGGACTTTGATCTATTTTATGATAAATGTGAAGTTGACTGACCAATACTCCTGGATAGTTCCCCTGGCGTCAACGCTACATACACATTGCCTGCACCACCATTAGGCACAGAAGCCAATGCCGGAAATCAACAACGAGGAGGCGCCGGCGGCATAGTATCGGCTACGACGACCGCAACAGACATTGTGAACCCTGTGTCGGGAGGAACAGCCCCTAGCCCAACCCAAGACGGGCTTGTCACCAACGTAAGACGAACCATTGATAATAAATCAACATGAAGATGCGAGACTAACTCTGAGATTTCCAGTGCAATAACTACGCAAGTGCTACTGCTGGAGACGGATGCGAGGCGTTTGCCACGCGCAACTCGATTGCGCCAACACAGCTCTATGCATGGAACCCAGTTCTTGGCACTGCTGGCTCCGAATGCTCAACCGCTCTCTGGGCTAGCGAGTATTACTGCATCGGCACGTGGAAGCCAACCCAGACTTCTGCCGCAACTGCACCAGGTCCAACCCAGACGGGAATCACGTCTAGCTGCAATAAGTACGCAGAGGCAATCTCTGGTGACGTCTGTACCGTCTTTGCTTCTCGCAACAACATCACAACCGCTCAGCTCTACGCTTGGAACAGCGTACTTGGAGCAAATGGAGAGAACTGCGCTGGTTCCATGTGGGCGGACGAGTACTACTGTGTTGGTGTCTCCGGATCATCATCCGCAGCAACAACCACGGCTGCAGTCTCGACTACTGCTACTCAAGTCACAGCCCCTGGCCCGACCCAAACTGGCATCGTCTCGAGCTGCTCCAAGTTTGCCAAGGCTCCGTCCGGAGTAGTATGCGGCGACTTTGCGAGCAGCAACAGCATTTCAACCGATCAGTTTTATGCATGGAACACAGTCCTCGGTGCCAATGGGGAGAACTGCGCGTCTTCCATGTGGGCCAACGAGTACTACTGCGTCGGCATCACCGTGGCTGCCCCTGGCCCGACGCAAGATGGCATCAACTCTAACTGTGCTCGATACGCCGAAGCGCCTTCAGGTGCGACCTGCACCACGTTCTCGAGCGCCAATGGAGTCACTCTGGCTCAGTTGTATGCTTGGAATCCGGTCTTGGGGGCAAATGGGGAGAATTGCGCCACAAAGATGTGGGCGCAGGAGTATTACTGTATCAGTATCACTAAGTAGAATGGCCTCCACTTTGTTGGAAGAAGATCAATACCTCAAGTTCAATGACTGCTATAAGTTTTGATAAATACACCCAAGAGCGAAGCATATTTGGCCCAAAATCTGACTTACGCAGCGGCCTTAGGAGGAACATGCGGCGTCCTCTAGCGCCAGGGCGAGCCATAGGGTAGAAGCAAGTGATGTTGAACATATCTGCCATTCCAACCCTTCTTTCGTTGAGTTCTTCCATTCCCATTTGCCATCTGAATAAGTAAAATCAAAAAGCGGGTAAGGGCTTCATGAAACCTACTCCTGTCGCCACAACCAGCAGCGACCCGTCTAGGTCGGCGGCTAAGGTCAAACTTGGATGAGTGGTGGAGTGATTTATAGTCGATAATTGATACGCAAATGAGTCTGATCAACGACAGGTCACAAGTTCGAGTTTGATTCCCAGATTGAGCACCAAGAAATGCAGCCTCCAAATAGGCACCGAGGGGTGCACTCCTCTTTCGTCTTTTTCGTACCCTTTGAAGGCCATTTCTTGTCATGAAATATTTGTGCCTCGCTTATATATCTATCCCATAATCATCTAATAGCATGGTCAACAATGTAAGAGGAAAGACATGGGACCAAAGTTGAATCAGTAGACGCCTATTTCTTTTATTGTGTTGCTTTAGGCTTTTGTTCAATTTGAGCACACCCATAAGGCTCTCTTGAGTCCGCAGCCGGATTCCCCACTCACATTTGTAGAAACACATGCCTAATATGCATGATGGGCCGATGGTCGTTTCTATACTTGGCAGCATGAGCACTGGTCTGAGTTGGGAACATAGGCGCCGTTGTTGGCGAGTTGGCTGGAAGACTCAAGCCAATAAACAACCATATCGATGTCAAAACTAAGCCCAAAAGTAGACCTGCATGATCGTAATTGCGAGAATAAGCATATGGCATGCATGAGAGCCTAACAGTCCAAGGTGTAGCGTGGTGAGCTGGATGGGACCAAGGACACACCCGCAGGTCCTTTCGCCACTTTTCGGTGCCTTGAACATGTGTTGGGACGGTCGCTGCGGGAGGCCGACCACCAACAAAGACATGCAGCCTGGCATCCAACCAGCTGTAACAGATATTTCTTGGCACCGTATATAAATACAGCCCAACCACCAGTCAACCCCCTTCTGCTACTTGCATCGAAAGATTCTCATCTTCCCCAAAGTGTATCACCATGGCCTACAAGAAGGAAGACCTTGAAAGGGTGTATTGCACCTGTAGAGCAATCTTTAGCGGTAACGATGCTCTCTTACGAAAGAAGAAGAAGGTCAAAGAGGCCCTGATCAAGAACACAACCACTGTTAAACCACTTTTCTTCAGTTTTGGCGAGGAAAAGACCATACTCATGTCGCAGCACCTGTTGGAATGCCGGGTATTTGAGTCCGATCTCAGAGCCAAAGTCATGTTTCCGAGCCTCTTCCAAAGCACCCCGCAGCAAGATGCTGATCGCGAGGCTTCGGAGGCCGATGCAGTGAGGTCAGTTGCAAACGCCTTAGACGAGATGAGTCAATCGGAAGGCGAGGATGATGACGATGAACTTGATCGAATTCCCGAATCATATCCTGAGGAAGCAGTTCCTACTCCCATAGCAGAAAAGGTCCCAGAAGACGCGCCTCCTGCCGACGCACCTCTTGCCGACGCACCTCTCGCCGACGAGCCTCTTGCCTTAGTCAAGGCTATAACGCCTCCCCAAGATCTCGCAGATATGTGCGATATCGACTCCGGTAAGTCATGTACAGTTCTCCAGTTATACAAGACCACTGACAAGGCATAAGGGGTCACTCTGACAAGTCCACCGCCGCACCCTGGGCTACCTTCTTTGTATCCCGCCTGTCTCCCTTACAAGACTCAACATGACATCCTCACCACCACTCAGAGAGTTCTGGAGGAATGCTGCTTTGATTTTGCGACCAAATGGATACCACACGTTCTTCGATCACAAGGCTGGGACTGTCCGTCAGCGGTCGAGTTAACGAAGTGGACCAAAGTCTTCAACAGAGCTGGCCTAAACTTGCCTGCGCACGCAACCGCACCGGCAAACACCCCCATCAAGGATGTTCTCTTCCGCACACATCAGTTGAGGCACACTGCTGTGCACAGACTGCCCACGACTGCCCGCGAAGTCAGCCAACATTTGCGGACTGCACTGGTAGTGGCTGAGACTCTTCAAGACGTCTCCCGCGCTGCTCAGCTGGAGGACTTGATGTCCGAGGTCGATGAGAAAATAAAGGCCATGGTACTGACGAAGAATGTTCTGGAGAACCGCACTCTATTCAGCCTCGACGATATCCGCCGTCAACGCGAGGAACTTGATAGACAAGAGAAGCAAGTGATTGAAAACATGGTGAGAGAGGATCGTGATCACAAGGCGCTCATCGGCCGTCTGCTTGAAGCCGCCGTCGATGACATCTTTGAGAAGAAGGTGGTTAGGGCTCAGATACTGGAGGAAGCCGAAAATGATGCCGCAGATATCTACTACGAAGCCAGTGAGGACACTGTGGACGGGGCTCTCGAGGACTCCTACATGAGTGATGGAAATGAAACCCCTAGGGAGGACGGGATAGAGAGTCCTGGCTCTTATGACTGGGGCGAGGTACTTGGGTGTACGAGATCGGTCAAGTCTTGATGCCTAGGAGGTTTTCAATGTGGGCAAGGTAGGGACAAAATATCAATATATCATGACCCCACCCAGAAACGCGTGCGACATTCTCTCAAGTTGACGAAGATTTGACTGTGGTATTATGAGCACTCCCGCACTTTACCTCAAGGTTACGCATCGATGTTGCATGCCTGCGCCACCTCGGTATGGTTTTCGGGTTCAAAATGATAGAAACACTAAGGCACGGTCTCCGAAGATGTCGTTCGCGCCTTACGGTGGGTAGGTGCTGCTAGACCTTGCGCTCACCGAGACCGCCGGCCGGCCCGAAGGAAGAGTCTCGGAGTACCGACCTCGCACTAAGCCGAATCAAGAGTGATGCGGGGCTGGCCTGAACCAATCAAAAGAGTCAATCTTAAGATCCAAAGGTTAATGCCCGTGCTTCCTCAGATCGACTTTTTGGACCCCTCATTGACGTGGTGTTCTCCGTTTGCGGAATGCAAAAGATAAAGATAAAATCAAGATCGATAGTCAGATGGAACCAAAGATTCTCTGATACTGCAACTCTACGGTATGAAAGATACCCGGATGCCACAGCCGGTCGTAGTACATAAGCGGATGTCACGTGTGACGAACAGCAAGCAGCGGCCCCGCCGTCGCCACCTTCCCGACCCCCCGGGCTTTTCAAATTTTCGTCCGGGCCAGAAGGAAGAAAAAAAAAATTATGGCGAAGGGCGTGGGGCAATCACGCAAAAAGGCGCTTGCCATGCCGCTTTGTTAGCCGGTTCCTACTGCCTTACCTTAGTCGAGTGGTCCCTTCATCTAGCCGCCGCTCATTGTCACTGCCTTAACCTTTTTCTTTGACTGAACATACTTGCTGCGTTTCTGTTCCTAATACAATTCTGTCATTGGAATCCCCGGCCGACAACATGCCAAACATGAACGAGGAGCAGCCTCTGCTGGTTGAGGACCCCATCTGCGAGGAAGACATCTCGAAGCACTTGCTCGACTTTGATCCCAATGGCGACCCTGAGAACCCCAGGGAATGGCCCGCACCTTTCAAGTGGACTCTGGTCGCATTGCTTGCTCTCACCGCGTTCACCGTGTACGACAGCCATCAAACCTGATGTGTATTGCATCAAACATCTCGTGACTACATTTGTGCTGACATATGGCACAGCACTTTCACCTGCATCTCAGTCGTCCCTGTAGCCGCCCACATCATCCAAGACCTAGACCAGAATGAAGGCGCAAACTCGCCGGCGAGCGCCCTGCTCGTCACAATCTGGGAGCTCGGTGAAGCCGCCGGCCCTCTCCTCATCGCGCCCCTTTCCGAGATCTACGGACGCTACCCCGTCATGAACGCCGCCAACATCCTCTTCATCATCGCCACCGTCCTCGCCGCTATCAGCACGAGCACCCCGCTCCTCATCGGCGCCCGCTGCCTCACCGGTCTCGCGGTCGCTTCTAATGTGTTGAACCCGGCCATCATCGGCGACATGTTCGTTCCGGACAACCGCGGCTCGGCGATGAGCATAGTATCTCTCGCCCCGCTCATCGGCGGTGCGGTCGGCCCCATGATCAGCGGCGCCATTGCGCAGACCCTCGGCTGGAGACAAGTCCTCTGGATGAGTGCTGGTTTGGCGACCGTGTGTGAGATCTTATTCCTCACTTGCTTCCGAGAGACGTATAAGATGACCATTTTGAGACGACGTGCCGCGAAGCATGCGGAAGAGCACGGAGCACCGCTTCACCCTGCCGGAGTTGATGACCACAAGAGCCTAATCAAGCTATGGGAGTCGATCAAGCGGCCTTTCTATGTCTTGCTCAGGTCAAATGTTTTGATGGGATTGTCGTTCTTTGGGTGCATAACATTCGCCTACTTTTACGTCATGTCCATCAGCTTGCCCGTCATCCTTCATGACGTATATGGCTTCTCGCCTACCCTAACTGGTCTTTCGTTCATGTCCTTCAGTAAGTCCTACTCTGAACTTTTGCACGATACGTTCGCGTTCTAACAAACACAGGTATTGGTTCATTCATCAGTGTCATCGTCAGCAACTTCAGCCTGGATAGGATCTACGTGAAGCTTCGTGGTAACGACCCCGTCGGACGCCCCGAGTACCGCCTCCCGCTCGTCATCATCGGCGCATTCACCCTGCCCCTCTCCATCACCGCCTACGGCTGGATCGCGGAACTTCGCCTTCCTGTCGGCCTTCTTCTCCTATCGGTCGCGATGCTTGGCTTCACTCTTCTCATGGCCTCCCTTCCTCTCTCCGCTTACGTCGTCGACGCTACAGGCCTGTACTCTGCTTCCGCCATGACCGGTGTCATCGTCACGAGATGCCTGGCTGGCACTTTCCTCCCCCTTGCTAGCGGACCAATGGTGCAGTCTTTCGGTTATGGTTGGGGTTTCACTATGCTGGGTGCGTTCAGCATTTGCCTGGCGCCCATCCCGGTGGTTATCATGAGATACGGTCATGCTTGGCGCCAAAAGTCCGAATACACGAGAGATGCCTGAAGACGTCATGAGTTACGATACAACTATCATTAAAGCATATTGCCAGGAAGGAAAAGTGATTTACAACGCGTTGTTGCTTTATACAATTTGGGAGGGTTTTCTACTTAACTTAGATTCGGCGTTACCGAGAGGCATACTTCAATAGCTTTATGAATAGAATCAATTAATAGTCAATCATCATACAGAAGCATTGTCAGGCTTGTTTTTGTCTCCACTCCTTGAAGGCCTCAATGGCTTCTGCTACCGAATCCCGCCCCATTAACTCCATCCGATAATCCTCATCCATCAACCGCCACCCCGTCGGCGACAACTCATCCCTCAGCGGTGCGCCCGTCATCTCCGCATCGCGAGCCTCCTGCTCCGGCCCGTCGCGAACATGATACCATTTTCGATTCGATGTCGCACCTTGCACATTCACCGTCGTCCGGTCTTTCCGAAGCGTCTCATATAGCTTCAAGATCTCGGGAATCTGTGGGACCATGTTTTCTGCCCCCGAGGAGTTCTTCAAGAGGCCCAGAAGCTTCCCGATCACGGCGCCGTCTTCAACTGCCATGGCTGCGCCTTGGGCTTGGTAGGGAAGACTCGGGTGACACGAGTCGCCCAGAAGAGCGAAGCAGCCCTTGGTCCACGTCTTCAACTCGGGGTGCGTGCATAGCTTCCACTTTTGCACTCTCGGTATCAGCGAGATGAGCTTTGTCAATCTAAGAAGAAAATCAGTAACTACACGCGATGGGTAAAACCTCACCTGGCAGCTTGAAAAGCTGCCAGAGACTTACGTCTCATCCCACCCGCGATAACTTTCCCTCATCTCTTCGATATCACCCTGCACGCGCTTCTCGCCCAGTTCCATATTATCCGGCCTGATGAGCACGAGGTTGAACTCCCGCCCGCCTCTGACGGGGTAGAACACGGTATGCTTGTCGGGTCCCATCCACACCGTAGCCAGCTTCCGCGCGCAGAGATCGTCGACCCCGGGATCATTCAGAGCTTTGAGGTAGTCAAACGGAAACGTAGCGCGATACGCCAGATCCCCCGTCTCAACAGGCGGCGAAGCCGCTCCAAGAAGCTGATCACGACAAATAGACCAAAGCCCTATCATCAACCATCAGCAACAACAAGGACGACTCCCAACCAGCACATCGTACTCACCATCAGCACCAATAATCACATCTCCGCCAATATCATCCCCATCTTCAAGATACACCCTCTTTTCGTCAAAATCAATTCTCTCCACATCCATATCGAGACACAGATCCACGCCAATCTCCTTGCACGTCTGCCAAAGGATGTAGTGCAAATCAGCCCGGTGCACAACCATCCAGAGGTCACCGTACCGGGCCTGCGCGTCCTTGGCCGAGAGCGTGTGCAGGTGCGCGCCGTCGGCGTACCTGCGGTACTCCATCCCGTCGATGACGACCCCGCATTGCAGGAGTTTGTCGAGGTAGCCTAGTTGTCTTGCGATTCTTGTTCCGTTGGGCGGAAGCTGAAGACCTGCGCCGATCTAGGTAGAGGTTAGCTTAGATAAACGAGTGTATCACTGAAAGCGGGAATGGGAATCGTGAATGGCACTTCGGTGAGCTTACCGGGACCAGTCTATTCGCCCTCTCGAGAACCACTACCTCGAACCCCTCTCTTCTACACGCTATGGCGCAAGCGAGGCCGCCGAGACCTGCGCCGATGATGAGGACTCTCATATTTACATTTAGCCCAGGACGAAAAGGTCTGTATTGGATTGTACAGGTGTTAATCACCTCGGATCACTTTGGTGTTATCTACATTCACAATCTGTCATGTCCCGTCACGGCCGTAGCCCACCCCCGCTACTTAAGGGCCTCCGGCCTGATCCTGCATCATGCAGGAAACCCCGCGCCGGATCTCTGCCGCGCCCCACTACCGAACCGCTGAGTGCCATTCGCGCCGAACTCTGAGGGGCAAGTCACGCAGCGAGAACCAGTTTCCACAGAGTGACAATCTCTTAGACACGACCAAATCTTCGAAGGCTGGAGACTAATCACCGTAGACATCGCTTTCGGTGAAACTTGATTGGATAGAGGGTCCTCTTCACGGCCTCGCGGGTTCTTACTTGCGGCCCGAGTCTATTCACTCTAGCGCCCGACCTTGGGTAATTGTTTCGTTGTTCCCTAAATATGCTAAAAAAGGCAACCCAATTTCCCTCACGCTCTTGTCCTCCTGCGGCTCGAAACTTCATTTAGAACCTTTGAGCTTGATCTACCTTACTCGGAATAGCCGAATCTTCGCTTTCGGTGCGGGGTTTCCCGAAGATGCCCATCACGTGGGAATAAGGAAAGGATAGGAAATCCCTCCAGTAATCAATCAACACCTTATGCCATCATCCCATCATCGGCGTCCTCGATTACTCACTTGACCTAGGTAAACCACTCCGGATTTTCCTCTCTGCTTTCTCGGTGACCACTGGACTGGCATATCTCCGTGTCCGACATCTCCATGGGGACGTGGCAAAAACTCATCCGAACATGAACAGGCTCCAAGATCTCCAACCCCCGCGATATCCGCCGCGCCCTCCCCCCCAAAGGTTAGAAATCACTCTGCACTTTCTCAACTACCTTTAAAAAGAAACCACATTTCCCCGAAATCGCCGGACCGGCGTTTGGCTATCTTCATCTCAACATCCCACATGCAGCTCATCGCCCAGCCGGGCGCTGCCGTGCACGGGTACGTGGCATTCCATACCGCGCCGCGAAATCGTAACGTGCAAATTGCTAGAGAGGTCATGAGATTCGTGATAGACCACCCGAGTCTGCCGACGGCATCTTCGGTCGCCAGGGGGGCGGAAAAGAAAATAATCATTTACCGACCATTTAAGCTGCATCAAATACGATCCATCCGTAAAGTTATGTACTGGAGTAAAGTAGTCTGATGGAATCAGATTTAAAAGCACGGTGCCGCGGCGTCGTGGAGTTGCGATTGCTTTGTGGAGGAAGGCAGTTCCTTTCCAATATTCCCCGAGCTTATTGGGAATGGTGTCAAGTGTGCAACAATGGAATTCCAAGCCCTCGTGAGATATGAACACCAAGGGAGTGTATTTTACGGCAATCTCGTACGAACTAGTGAGTTTGGTTACACTATCGAGCGACTGCACGGGAATCTAGATGTCGGACTAGAGAGGACAAACATCAGAGACACGGCGGTAAAAGTGAGTGTTAGATAGCTTGCGGCCAGCTAGTCTGTGGACTTTTCCTTCCAACATCGCAAAGACCAATGCTGATTCGACCAATTCCGCGATGTAGCTGCTTTGCCCGTTGGAAAGAACGCCCATCATCATGTGCCTGGGGCTGAACTATGCCCGATACGCGATAGAATCAAATGTGAGTGAAAATGCTCATTTGAAGTCTTCTGCGAGGTTCTCTAAACCAACGACTCACAGCTTCCCGTATGCGCCTTTCCCATCATCTTCACAAAACCACCAGACGCCCTCGCGGGCCCCCATGATCCGATCATCGTCCACCATGACGCGCAGGACAAGCTAGACTACGAGGGTGAACTCTGCGTCATCATTGGTCGGGACGTTAAGAACGCGACTCTCTACAACGCCCTGGACTACGTCCTCGGGTACGCCGCAGGGAACGACGTGACCGCCCGCAACTTCCAGATCCCCGGTGCCTCGGGCGGCCAGTACTCCTACTGCAAGTCCTTTGATGGCTTCGCTCCTATCGGGCCGGCCATCTGGTCGCCGAGTGTCGTTCCGGATCCGCATGCGTTGCGGTTCCGCACCAGGGTCAACGGTACGATCGTCCAGGAGACGGAGACGTCTGATATGATTTGGTCGGTGGCGCAGGTTATCGTGCATCTGTCGCGAGGGACGACGTTGAGGAAGGGGACTGTGATTATGATGGGCACGCCCGGGGGCGTGGGGTACTCGCGCGGTGTGTTTTTGAAACATGGGGATGTTGTTGCAGTTGAGATTGATGGTCTCGGGAGGATCCAGAACGAGATTGTGTTTGAGGGAAACCATGTAGCGTAAGTAGAGTGCTTGCAGTCTAACAGCAGAAATCTGGGATGATATTCTCTGGTCAAGTGAGGGCTTCTTTGACTTTGAATGTTTTCATTGAAGGCCGACTCCTTTCTTGAATTCAGCTAGCCATTCAGGAATGTCTGCAGCCGTTTGATTCCACGGGTCATCACTGGCAAAGGTAAGTTAGTTTACGTGATTCTGCAACATCATACAGGACAGTACTCACTCGTCGAAGATTACCCATCTTGCATGATATCTGAGCTCATCATCTGAAGGAATATGCATATTGGGGTTCTGAGGCGAAATGGTGGTCGCAACAAACCGCGACAGTTCCCCTTCCAAACGAGCATATCTGTTAGGGTCGTTCAAAAAGAACGGCATATCAGTGCCTCTTGACCGCTCAGATCGTCTAAGCGAGTGTCCAGATCCTTCAAAGATTGATTTGGCAGTTTGCAACCGCGTGTATAAGTCACTGGGCTTTGTTGATATGGAATCAAAACTGAAGTCAGGGGAGATGTGATCTCTATCGTCGACGGGGTCGCAATAGCTTGAAGATATCTGTGTGTAAGCTGATCTCAATTGAGTGTTTGGTCGTACTACGCCAGCCGATATTGGTATCAGCCTTTCTGCCCCTCCTGTCAACTGGTTCAGCTCAGGTAGCCCCGTGAAGAAGCTGCTGAGTTGACTATCAGATGTGTTCGCCATGGAATCCAGACATGGTACTAATTCCTCATAGGAGTCCCCTACAAAGGCTTCGGCCCTCTGACGTAGTGGTGCCAGCCACGATGTTGACTTCCACATGAGGCGGACTATAAATCCAGCAAATCTTCTCGAAGGATTCGTCGATGCCGATTCTATTCTGTTCAAAATGACACAAGCTTCTTGCTGCAGATCATCGTCAGAGGGCGTGAGACCTAGAACGAGGTGTTCTCTGAGATGCCTGCACAGCTGAGCCTCCAGTTCGCAGTCCTCAAAGATGTCCGTCTTGCCAATTATCTGGAGTTGGGTCGCACGAAGTTTGGCTAGTTGATAGCATTGGTTCATTGGGCGTAGACGCGCCTTTTCAGACAACTCCGTATCATTCATCAACAAGTCTCGGAGCCAGGACGACGCATTCGGCGTGCCGCTGGGCCTGAAGAACTCGGAGGCGTACAAGATGGTACACGCCTCGTAGATGACCTCGTCGTCCGAGGGCAGTCGTTCGTGTTCTTCAAAGTAGTTACGGACGAAGTATTCTACTTCGAGCTTGAGGAGTTCGTATGCACTCGGTGCGGAACCAGCCGGCGAAACACTTGCGCAGTAGGGCACCGGTGCACTTTGCTCAAACTGGATTACGCCTTGAGGAATGATGAGTTTTTGGAGTTTTCCAAGACTGGGCAGGTTTCACTTACAAGGAGGCACCGCGTTATCGACTTTTGCGAGTATCTGGGGCTCAAAACCCCAATCGCCTTTCCAATTTGACATGGTGTTCCCGTCGTCTCGATAGTGGTCTGCAATGTGATCCCCGCGCGTCGCCCATGAGTCAAACTTGATTCCACAGAAGCCACATCTTGACCGAATCTTGTCCGTGATAACCTTCCAAGTTTCTGCGGTTTTAGACATCTGACTTGTCTTGTGTACAAGTTTCAAATGTTGCCGGAGATGGTCTTTGCGGTAGTACGTACGCTCTTTGACCGGTCGTTCCGAGCAGGCTGCTTGGTGGTGGTCGTCGAGGTGCTGTTGGGTTGGGTTGGCTTCGTCGCAGAAGACGCAGATCACCCCTTTCTCAGGGTGTTGTGTGGTCGACCCGTGCGGAGAACACACCCATTCCTCAAGTGAGAGGTGAAGGGACTTTTCGTGTCTTTGCCAGTCGTACTTTGTCTTGAAGGTTTCAGCGCAGAAAGTGCATTGGTAGGTATTGATCTGTCGAAGGCTCAACCTGTTCCCCCTTCGTTCTTTTAGAATTGCTCGTCTTCTCCGACGATTTGAGTCCTTCCGGAGTGCCTCCATAGGGGTCGGAGATTTGTTAGAGCCGTGGGAGTATGCTGAAGCATTGGAACGTGACCCCCCACTTGACTGAGATGTGCCAACGCTACTGACGCTCCAGGCGTTCTCCCAAGATCCTGCCGAAGACCGAGAGCGGCCCAAGAGTCCTGGGCGCTTAGATGATGCAGCGACTGCGCGAGAAATATCGGCAGCTAAAGCAGGCTCGCTATCTGGCGGAGAGTGTTCCCATCGTTGCATCGGGTTCATTTGCTCGAATGCCATGGGCGTCGGTCGTCGAACGGGCACGTCTATGGGACTAGAACCAGCCTCTGTCCGGGCCGGCGTGGAGGCCCCCCCCGGGCGAATCTTCCTGCGCCGACGAGTATTGGCGAACCAGTTTGTTAGTTGCTGTTTGGTCAACCCTGTTTGCTTCAGTAATCGCTCGGCCTGATCCGGGTTTGGATATGGATGCCGCTCGTGGTTTTCGAACCATGTTTTCAGGACTCTGATGTTTGCTGATGTGAAGCGACTGCCCACTTTCGTTCCGCCCTCCGTAGTATTCGGCGTGTCTTGTAGTGGCTCAGGGCCTTCGAAGAGTGGGACACCACCAGACACGCTTGAAGATGCAGATATCCGTCCGTCTTCAGATTGCGTTCCATTCACTGCATCGTCGGGATTCCTCGAGTCTTTGGGAAACATACTGAAAGACGCTTCGTCGGAAAGGAACAGACTGAGGTCGAAATCATCGTCCACTTCATTGGACCGCGCATTTGTCAGAACATTGTCGGCCATTAACAATGGCTTTTCCATCGCTTCCTCCCGTTGAATGACTTGAAATAGTCGCAGCGAGCGCAGGTTTGAAGGTTCTCTAGTCTTGACAGTGATTCCTCAACGTGACGCAGTGAAGTTGGCCGAAGTTAGTCGGTAGTGGGGGTTTGAAGAAATGGAGACAGTGAAGTAGGGAGGTTGTCAAAGAAGGGCGGTGATGTGGGGCGCTAATCATGCAAGCAAGATCACAACGCCATTTCGCCGGCGCCTTACTCATCTCGGACTTTATTAACCAAATCCTACTATGCCTACCCCAAACGTGAATACCTTCAGTTTTCTATATCGTATAGTTGAATAGTGTAAAAAAAAAAAAAAACACTAAGGCCACGGACAATGAAAGAAACGAAATAAGGAAAGTAATTAGCAAACACCTTAAGTTTTACGTTCCTAAACATGGGAGATCAAGTCATACACATTAGATCCATTGAAAAAGTCTCTTGAGAAATGAAATTCTATAATTTATATTATAATATTCTCAATAGTTGGTTATAATTGAATACATTGATAAGGATTAAGATTATTGTAAAAAATACATACGACGGTAGTAACGAAGAACGCGCTACCATTTCACAAAGCCCATCTAGATCGTCTCAAGAGCGACTTCGTTTCCAGGAATCCCCTCTCTCAAAAGCCCATCGACCGCGCTCACGCCGAATTGTTTGGCGGAATCATCCGCTCCATGCTAGAAAACATCCCTCTCCCGTTTGTTATCAAGTCCGACGCAGGTGCAACGCTGACAACGGTCGAGGGCATCACGTTGACTCTCAGTCCGATTTCACCACCGGCCTCTTTAGTCAGTCGAATGAGGCGCCGAGGGACGCCATCATCGCCGCTGGGAACAGTGATCCCAGCTTGGACGCCATGACGGAGCCCGAGGCGGAGCTCAGCGAGACTATCAAGGGGCGCTTCCCAGCATCGATGTAGTACGCTTCTACGACTCAGGCACGGAAGCCAACGTATACGCCATTGGCACTACGCTGGCTTACACTGGCTAGGCAAGAAGTAGTCGTGTTCGACCACGGTACCAAGGCGGCACAATGGGGTTTAGTAATAGTAATGGAGACCAGCCGTTGGTATCCCCCACGACTATGTTACTAGGACACGTGGCAAGATCAAGCAGACGAATGAAATTCATAGCGATGAAATTGGCGCCATTATCGTTGAGCCGATGCAGTGGTTTGGAGGGATGCGGGCTATGCCCAGCGGTTTTTTAGCCTTTTCACGCAACGCGGCCGATACGCTCGGTCTTGATCTTCGATGAGGCAGTAACTTCCCAGCTTGACTTCTACGGTATATAAGACCGACTAGATGTCCGACCGGATATGACCATATCGGGCGAGTATCTTGGTAGCAGTATGCCATTCGGGGCGTTCGAAGGTTGGGCGTCGATCATGGGGCAGTTTGACCACGGATCCGGCACCGCGACGAAGCTAGCATACTCAGGCACCTTCAGCAATAATATCTTGACCATGAGCGCAGTTGTTGCCGCGCAAGTATGGTGACAGCACCCGCTATCGAGAGGATCGGCAAGCTCAGTGATAGAGTCAGGCAGGGCGTCGCCGCGGCTACGAAGGCGCATGGAAAGTCCGCGGACATGTGTCTCTGGGCATGAGCAGCTGCATCGGTTTACACTTTACCAGTGCCAAAAGCGATAAACTGCGAGACCTATTGTTCTTTGGGTTTCTACAGCGAGGTATCTGAATAGGTCGCGGCGGCTTCTTTGCGCTTAATTTTGCGCACACAGATGAAGACGTTGATGAGTTTCTGGAGGGTTTTTTATGGCCATAACCGCTGCCCAATGGGCCGCAAACACCTGAGCCTACCGCGATTCAATTTGCGATGCCTGTCTAGCTAAAGAAGCCGATCGATCGTAAATCTAAGATGTATTGGTCGCGCCCCGATCCCTGAAGTCAACCTACTCACGGAAAGCAAGTCCGCCATTCATAGACCACACTTGACCGGTCACGTATGCGCTATCCCGTGACAATAGGTAGATTACAGCTGATGCAACTTCCTTAGGTTGCCCTGGTCTCTTGAGTGGAATTTGTTCGTTGACCACCCGGCGAAGAGCTGACGATGCCTCAGAGGCTTTAGCGAACTTCTCCGTGCCGATTAGGCCGAGTGCTAACGCATTGGCGCGGACGTTCTGGGGTCCCCAGCTTCGCGCCACATGACGTGTTAGGGTGTGAATCCCTGCCTTGGAAGCTGCATATGCA